AATAGACTATATAGGAAAAAATAGTTTATAACTTTTAATTTTACAGGAGCTTATAAGCTTATTAAAATAAAAGAAAGATATAAATAAATAACTGCATTTATAATAAAATATAGATTATATAAATATATTATTATACTATAGGGACTTATAAATATATCTATATTCTTTTAGAAAAGAATAAACTATATGCTTGAACTATACTTAAATGATTTTATAATTATATATATTAATAATATTTTAATCTTCTTAAATATCTTTAAAGAATATAAAAAATATATTTATTTTATACTGCAAAAGCTTAAAGAAAATAAACTCTTTATTAACTTTAAAAAATATATATTTTATTTTTAAAAAGTTAACTTTCTAGGATATATTATTATACTTAAAGAAATTTATATAAACCTTAATAAAGTTAAAGTAATTAATAAATAACTAGTATTAACTATACTTAAAGAATTATAAGTATTTTTTAAACTTATAAATTACTATTAAAAATTTATTAAGGACTTTTTATTAAAAGCAATCCCGCTTATTAATATAATTAAAAAGAATAAACCTTTTAAATAAAGGGAGGAATAGTAAAAAGCCTTTAAAAAACTTAAAAAGGCTATTACTTTAAAAATAATTCTTGCTATATTTAACCTAAAGAAACCTATTATAATTAAAACTAATGTATTAAACTTTATAATTAAAGGAGTTTTAAGTTAACCAGGCAATAATAGTAAACTTAGACTTATTATATTCTTTTTATATAAACTTAATAGACTAGTGCTATAATATTTTATCTATAATAAAAAAATATATACTATACTATAAGTATTTAAAAAATAAAGATATTATTGCTATAGAAGTAAATATAAGATTACTGTCTATATTAATTATAAGAATATTTTATACTTTATTATTATTAAAAAACTCTCTAGCTAATAAGTTAAATATTTTAAATTTTTATTATAATTTAATTATAAACTTATTTATTATAAAAGCATAAAAAATAAAAAAGCTAATATATTAAATAAAAGAAGTAATTATAAATAAAATATACTAGAATTTATAGCATAAGCACTATACTATAATAATAAAGGAAATATTAAGCAAGTATATATTTATATAATATTTAAAATACTTAAAGAAGACCTAATGTTTAATAAAATTAAAAAATATATAAAGGATTATAAAAATAAAGAATATTTAAAAGAAGTAACTATAGAAGAAGGATACTTTAAATATAAAGGAAAGATTTAAATGCTTAAAGAGTTAAAAAGGGATATAGTAAAATATATTTATAAATATCTGCTGTATAAATATAAAGGGATATAAAAAATATATAATTAAATCTTTATATATTATAAAGTAATTAAACTTAAAGTATATATTTAATATATTATATTATACTGCAGTATATATTAATAAATAAAAGATAGAAGATATAAATTATATAAAAAACTATAACTGCTGCTAGTAGTAAAATAACTATAGGAATTAGTAATATTTAACTATATTACTAACCTACCCCTCTTTACTAAGCCTTTTATAAAAATAAAATATAATAGTATTTTTATAATAGTCTGCTGCTTTTTAAAAAAAGTATACTTTTTATTATATAATAAATTATATATAGTAAAAGACCTTGCTTATACCTATATAAAAATAATTACTATAAATTATAGACTACTAAAAGAAATAATATTAAATAAAGGATAAACATTTACCTTTAAATTTTAGTAAAAACTTATAGCTAAATTAAAAATAAACTATAAATTAAATACTGTATATTACCCTTAAATAAATAGGCAAATAGAATACATTAATTAAATTATTAAAGCATACTTAAGATACTATATTAACTTTATATAAGATAATTAAATAGAAAAATTACCAGTAGTATAATACTATTATAATAATATACCTTTAGAATCTATAGGAATTACACTATTTTATGTAAACTATAGATTTATATTAAAAGCATTTAAACTACTATAAGAAAGACTTAACTTTAAAAAAGCAAGACTGCAAGCAGAATTAATAATTAATTTATATAAAGAAATATATATATAACTTAAATTTATTTAAAATAGAATAAGGAAGTATATAGATTAAGATAGAATTATAGGATTAATTCTCTAGAAGGAAGATATAGTTTACCTATTATAATACTTACGAGGCTATAAATTACTAAATATTAAAACTAATAGGCCAAGTAATAAGTTAAACATTAGAAAAATAAAACCTTATAAAATCCTTAAATAAATTAAAGAAATTAATTATAAGCTAGCATTACTAAATATAATAAAGCTTTAAAGCCTAGTGTTTTATATATTATAACTAGAAAAAGCATAAGTTAATAAACTTATAAAAAGATTTATTTTAAATAAAATTATTATTAAAAATAAAAAAAAAAATATAAAGTTAAAGAAGTACTTGCTATACACTAGAACTTTAAAATTAATAAAATAAAGTACTTTATTAAATAAAAAAGATACTTTAAATTAAAAAACTTATAGAAACTAAAAGAATACTTTAACTTTTAAGAGCTAATATAAAGGTTTTTTTATTTTATAAAATTAATAAACTAAGGTCTATAAACTTTAGGCTAATGCTAAAGGAGGATTAATTAATATTATTAAAGACCTCTATATACTAAAGATTATTTACTATATTATTCTCTTTATTTAACTCCTGTATTCTATAATAAACTAATTCACTACCCCGCTCCTTTATTTTACTTTTTATATAATAAATATAAGCCAAGCAGCTTACTGCCTTAGAAAGTTTAACTTATAATTTAAAAAGCTAAGATTAAAAGGACTTTAAGGCTTTACCTACAGCCTTTTTCTTTACTTTTAGCTTCTTTTATTAATCTAATACTTTTATTACTAAAATTAAAATATTAGCAATATAAATAAATATAAAAATAAAGCTTATCTATAAAAAAAAGCTATTAAAACTCTATTATAAAAATAACTATATTTAATATATTTATAATAATAAGAAAAATCCTTTATTATTTAATAAAGAATCTTTTTCTAAAAGTAATAAATATATAGTATATTAAAATTAAAATTATAAAAAAGAATAAATAATATAAGAAGGTTATGCTTATAGGTTTTATAAAGAATTAACTTAAATACTTAATTAGTTATTATACTATTATTTAAGGAAGCAAGTTATAGATAATAGAAATAGAAAGAATAAATATATTTATAAATTATAAGGACTAATATACATTTAGCCTTAAAGATAAAACTAATAAAGAGGGGGCATTGTATTATAACCTAATAACTATAAGATATATATTTATAAATAAACTATAGATTAATAGGCCAATTAAAAGGGGATTACTTATAAAAGCATAAGCTATCCCTAATAGATTATAAATACTAAAGTAAGCTACCTTAGAAGGATTATAATTAAAATCATAAGCCTTATAAAATAACTTACTATATAAGAATTATTTATTATATTTATTAAATAAAACTTAAATAGTTAGTTATTAATATAGCACTTTTAGATAACAATTAGATTGGTTATTTATAACCTTATTAGCTATGTAACTGCATTGCTTATAAGACTCTAACTCATCTCTCTGCTAACATAAACCCGATGTTAAGTTTATAAATTAGAAACCTACCCTATACTTAAGTATGATAGTATAGGTCAGGACGTTACACTATCCTTCCCTGGCTATAATTAACTATTAGTTTTAAAGTTTATTTAAAAATATATACTTTATAGGTCTTATATAGTTAATTTATAATATAATGCCTCTCTTTTATTAGTTTTATCCTTAAGGCCTAATAATATATAAGTTTTAAATTACTTATTTTTTTTCTATAGGTAATTTAGTTTTTTTTATTATATCTAAAGGCATTATTAAGTTTTTTTATTCTTTTTCTATAGAAAAGTTTATTTAAAATTATAGGCAGCTGTTTTAGTTATAAAGACTATTAAGGTTATTATTATATTTTATTTTTTTTATAAATTTAAGGGTTTTTTTTATAAAATAGTATAAGGTTATTAAAATTATAAAAAGTATATACACTAGGGTTATTTTTATAATAGGAATAGTATTTTTTTTAGCAGTTAATAGGTTTTTATAATTTATATAATATATTATTTATTAATATTATAATAATAAAATATTTAATTATTAAAAAAAAGCAGATAAATATAAAAAAGTATTAAATTAAATAATAATTATTATAAAACTAATAATAAATAATAATTTTAACTTAATTAATAAATAAAAATTTTATATAATTATTATATTTTTAAAAGCAGTATTAATAAATTAATATATATAGTAAGTAAATATTTTATTATAGGGCTTAGTTTTTTAATAAGTTAAATATATTAAGTTTAAAGCAATAGTTAATATATAGCTTAATAGTAATATTAATATAATTAATTAAAATATAATACTTGCTAACTTAAGCCTAGTATTTAAAAAAATTTCTTTATTAGCGCCTAAAAGCTAAAATATTTAATAAATTTTTATAAGTTTTTAAGTTTTAAATATTTTTTTTATTTAATAAAATACTTAATATTCTAGGTTTTAAAGTTTTAATATATAGTAATAATATTTTTAATTTTATATTTTTTTTTTAATCTTTTATAATAATTTTATTTAAAATAAATCTTTTAGTTTTTTTATTAATTTATATTTTTTTTAAATTATAATATATAGAAAACTAAATTTTAAATTTTTATTATATTTAATAATACTAATTTATAATTAACTTCTTTAATTTACTTTAAAATTTTATAAGGTTTTATTTTTTTAATATTAAATTTATTATTTAGTTTATTTATTTTAATATTTAATAATTTATAGCTTTATAAATATTATAGTAAGTAAACTATATTTCCTTTTTAAAAAATTAATCCTATAATTTTATTTTTATTTATATATTTTTTTATATATTATAAATAAATTTAAATTATATATATATTTCTTTATATAAATTAATTATTAATTTAGCTTATAGTTATATTTTTTTAAGTTAAATTTATTTTATAGTAGTTTAAATACTTTAGATATAAATCTATAGTTTATTTAAAAAAATATTATTTTTATAAATTTTAATAGTATATTATTATTGTATAATTAAGCTACTAGTAGTTTTTTAATTTAATTATTTTATATAAAATTAATATAGGCTTATAAATAAGCTTTAATAATTTAATTTATATATTTAATTTATTTATTTATCTAAAGGTAATATATAGTATTAAGTTTATAGTTTATTTTTAATTTAGCTATAAGTTTTTATTAAAATTTAAAAATAAATATTTATTTTTAATTTAATATTATTTTTTTACCAATAATTTATAATTAATAATAATTATTT